TGAGGTTAGACCACGTGTACTTTCCAGCAGCTAATCTAACTTGTTCATAAGGTGCCAGTGTCATTGCTGAGATAAAACTCACACACACACACACACACACACACACACACACACACACACGTAGTTTGTGTGTATGTATGCTGTCCTTTTCCATTTTGGAAATTGTGACTTAAATGTGACATGTCCCTCATTGGCTCATGTATTTGAACAGTTGCTCCTCAACTTGGTGGTACTGTTTTGGAAGGTTTAGGAGGTGGGACTGGAAGGATGGCTCACGAGGGGCTGGCCTTCAGGTTTTACAGCCAGGCTCCACCTCCTGTCTGTGCTTTGTTTCCTGATTGCAGACATTGTGAGCTGCTGCCTCACACCCCTGTCTCCATGCCTTCCTTGTCATGAAGTTGGGATATAATAGCAGTGACTAATGCTGGTGCCAACGGACAGCTCTTCTGATTCTTCTCCTATTATTATTAGTCTATGAACATTTGGAGGGAGTTGTCTGAAAATATACTTGTAAGATTTATGGACCTTCTGTTTTCCATTGTGAAAGATATTTAATTTGTTGTCTGAATGTCTTCTGTGTTGACAGGACTATGCATGCATTCTGTTTACTCTTGAGTCAGTTTCATCTTGATTTTGTTTTACTAAGTTTTTGGTCCGGTTTGTCTGAACTTGTGAGTCCTGTCATTCCACAGTCTCATTTATCTTTTAATTTCTGCAAGAACTGCTTGTGTTCTACATTGTTTTTCTGTCCTTTCTCACATTTCCACTCCCCCCGCCGAGGGAATCTTGTAAAGATTTGACCTTTTGTTAGTCTTTTACATGAGTTTTTCTAATTTAATTTCTTCTCTATATTTTCTTTCTTCTTCATTGTTGTTTATTATGTTTATACTTTTCAAGTATTGTTGCATCTCTTATAAAATAAACAGCTGAGAGTATATACTGAGAATGTGTGTACTTTAGAAGTGATTCCAAATTTGCAATTTAGGGGGCAGAAGGATGGGCAGGGCTTCTTGTATCACAGACTGGCCTCAAACTTCTTAGTAGCTAAAGATAACCTTGAACTTATAATCTTCCTGCTTCTACCCACTCAACGCCGGCATTTCAGTTGTGTGCCACTATTCCTAGTGCCAAGGCTTTTGCATGCTAGGCAAACACTCTACCAACTCATCTGTAGCCCAAGCAAATGTATTTTCTTTCACATTTCACCTTCTTTATTGCAATATGAAATTTTTGTGGCAGAGAATATTGCTTGTCCTTTCACGTTTGTTGAGAATTGTTTTGTAGGCTCATCTTCTCTGTCTTCTCTGGGGTCTGGAAACAAATTCTTGTGTTCATGATCAGAATTCTTAATCTTTACCCCCAGATCTAGAGTTTATGCCTATCAGATACATGCTAAAGTTCCGCTATCTTTTCTGTCTCTCTGTAAAAGAAGAATGGGGGTGTCTTCCATTTGTCCCGGCATATTTAGTACCTTCCCAAAGTTTTGTCATCTTTGACTTAATTTTGTGAACCTTAAAAACGAATAAGTTAATTTTTACCATTTAATTAAAACTAGCAGGCGACCCAGCTCAGAAAGAATATGCTGGTCTAGCATGGATGAAACCTCAGCTTCCATGTGCAGCTGTGCAGGTAAACAGCAAAAGGGGATTTGCTTGACATTTTCCTCCAAAGTCTATTTCAAAAGTAGCTTTGTGTGAGTGTTTTTTTTTTTTTCTCTCTCTCTTTTTTTTCCTTCAAGTTTCTTCTTACTGTTAGACAAAGCTTTTGTAATTATCATTGAGCTATCCAGGCTGTACAACTTTGAGCTAGATTTTTTTTTAATCTTTAAAATTTTTATCCAAGTATGCTTTCTGATATATTTGATGTCATGTATAATATCTAACTTTTTGTTCTTTTTTTTCCTACTTTGCTTCACTGATCACTGTTGTTCCTCTTTGTTTTAATGGTTAAGCTTTTCTTCAGCTCCTTTTTTAGAATTCTTATTTGGCCTCTGGTAGTTTAGTAGACACATATTCTACCCCTCTACCGGGGATGCTCTGGAATGTTCATCGGGGCTCAGCGTTCTTACCTAGTTTCTGACTTTCTGTCTTGGGCTTCTGGGATATTGTATAGTATCATAGTTTTCTGTTTAAAGAGATTCATGCTGTACTTTAGAAACTCATTTTAAGTACTCTGCCTTGGTAGTATAGAGTCTTACTGCAAATGTCAGTTTGTGCAGCCATCACTGCCTACAACATTCCACAGTCTTTCTGCATAGCTGGGCGTGGAGGCAGAGGCTGGTGGATCTTGGTGAGTATAAGGCCAGCCTGGTCTACGTAGCAAGTTTCAGGATAGCCAGGGCTTCAAAGAGACTTTGACTCCAACAAAACAAAACAGCAAAACAAGCAGAAAAGACTTTCCCATGCTGCCCTACCATAGGCAAACCCACCTCAAGTATCACCAAAGCTCTGGTTTCCAGCCTTGTAGTTGTGTTTTTCCCAGAATTCTCTATAGGGAGAGTCGTTGTCTGTATCACCCTGTGTGACTGGTTTCTGTGCATTGAGCATATGCTTTGATCTGGAGCTGAGTGATGGCACATGCATCAACTTTCCACCCCAACGGCTGGGTAGTGTTCTCCAACGTAAATGTGTCAGAACCTGTTCCCCTGCTGAAGGATGGAAAGTTTGTCCCTAGACTTTGAGTGTTGGTATGCACATTTGTGTGTGTAGGGTGTGTGGGGTTCACTTCTCTGAAGCAGCAGTGGTAGGTCATATAGCAAGTGTATGTTCACGTTTATAAGGTGCTGCCGGTGATTCTTGTCTGGGTTGTACTGGTCTGTCATACTCAGCTCGAGCAACCTGTGAGCTTTCCACTGCCAGATTCTTCAGAGCTTGGTGTGGTGTGGTGTGGTGTGGTGTGGTGTGGTGTGGTGTGCTGTGGTGTGGTGTGGTGGTGGTGGTGGTGGGGTGTGTGTGTGTGTCTGCCGTCTGCAGATCTTCCATGGTAATATTCTGTTCATTCTTTTTGTCTCTCCTTTTCAGTACTAAGGCTAGAACTCAGGGCTGTGTGCCAGGCAAATGCTGTACCATTGAGCTACAGCCCCAACTTTTTTGTGGTTATTTTAGTAGGGTTTTTTTTTTTTTCTATTTCTGACTCTGACAACTCTGTATTTAATTTCCATATCATTCTTTTATTATGTGATGTGCAAACATTTTTCTCCCTATGGGTTTTCTTTTATCTTTTAACAGGACTTTTCATGGAACAAAAGCTTTTCATTTTGCTAGAAGTCTAATGTATCAATTCCTTTTCTTTCATACAGAATGCTTTTGATATTATTACTTAGAACCCACAGCTCTACTGAAGGTCACAGATATTTTTTTCTTGTGCTTAAAAATTCCATATTTTTATGTTCTGTGGAAGCCTGCATTCTATTTGTGGTTAATCTGTATTTCGTATCCATGGCACAGGATTGTATGCATGGATTCATACCTTTGCATGTTGTGTTCCATGACAGTTTGTTGGCTTCTTCTGTCAGTCTCTCTTAGTCTTTGTTCCATTTTCAAGATCACTTGGTCATGAGTGTGGACTTGTTTCTGGCTGGCACGTCCTATGTCAAAGCCACCTTCCCTCCTGATTATTTAATTTTAAATTTGGGTTATGTGAGTGCTTTAACGTAGCTTTTCTTCTAGAGATGCCGCATAGTTATTTCCCTGCATGTTATGGTCCATGTTGATTTCTGCAGTACAGTGTACCCCGCTGTCGCTCTGGGCTATCATTCCATCCTGTGTCTCCCCACTTAATTTAGGTATTCTGTGAGTTCTTTCCTAGGCACTCTGTAGTTTCCTACATTTCTGTTGCCGTAATAAAACACCGTGACCATGCGGCTTATAGAAAGATTTATCTGTACTTATGGTTCCAGAAGGTTAGAGTCCATGATGGTGGATCGAAGATGTGGAAGCAGGAGAAGGAAGCTGAGAGCTCGTACTTTGAACTTCAGACATGAAGCATAGAGACCAAAATGTCACAAACTCTCAAAGCCCACCTCCAGGGATACATTTCCTCTGCAAATGGCACATCCCCAGCAATGGGGACCAAGTATTTGAACATCTGAGCCTATGGGGGACATTCACCTTCAAACCACAACACCTAGCTTGCAGGCTCTTTATATAACTTGATAGACTGATACCTAAGAACTTAATTATTTGAAACTGTTGCTAAGGCTCTGTTGCTAGTATCTGGAGACAATTTATGTTTGTATATTTGTCTTCTGTTGTGCAGTCTTGCAGAGGTTTTTTTTTTTTTTTTTTGGTTTGTTTGTTTGTTTGTTTGTTTATTTTGGACAGGACCTCACTATGTAGCCTTGGCTGGTCTAGAACTCTATGTAGAGGAAACTGGCTTCAAACTCAGATCCATTTGCCTTTGTCTCCTCAGTGCTAGGATTAAAGGCAAGCAACACCATGCCTGACTTGCTGATTTTTTGAGGGGGAGGTGTCTTATTTTCTTGTCATTTTCTCCATTGATTATTCCATTGGAAATTAGCGACCTAACCATGGAAGGCCAAGCCATGGCCAAGTGCCTACATTCGTTGCTAGGATCCAGTGCTGCCTTTGTATTTGCTGATCACTCATTGCATCTTTGGATCTGGCTCTTTTTGCTTGCTCTTATGGAGTAAGCCCAAGTGCATGGGTGTGGCAGTCTTCTTAAGAACAAATATAAAAGTCCATTTGTTGTCCTTACTATAGGTCCCAGTCTTTGGCAGGGAACTCCAGAGCACCTTGAACATTGTGCTTTGCTGGTGTGGTAGTTAGTTACTGTTTCTGGGGGACTCTAGAATTGTGTTTCTCTTCTGTTAATATGAGCCATGAGTTTCCACTACTCATGGCTGCTTCTCTGGAGTTGCTGTGAGAGAAGAGTGGGACCTGTCATTAGACTGTGTCCCTACTTAAGCATGTATATATGTGTGTGTAGATACATAAACGTACGCATATATTTGCTGACCATTTTCTCCATTTTCCCTCTAGGGCAGAAAAGACTGAAGTTCTGAGCGAAGACCTTCTCCAGGTGGGTTGTCACTTACCTTGCCTGCTAGACCTCAGAGATGCTTTTCTCTAAAATGGAGCCATTATCTGTGTGGTTTGCAGACCTCTCCTGCTCCCATATAAACTGTTAGGGGGTGAAATCCTGTTGTTTCTGATGGTGCTTTCCATTTTGGTTCCCCAGAGATGCAAGCCCACAATATGTAGTTTCAGTTAACCTCATATTAAAAAATACTGTGGTGAGATGCTCCTTTACTGAGCACGTGTGATCTTCTTTCCCTGCCATTCCCTAAATAAGGCAGTGTTGTCGCAGGGTTTACATTGTATGAAACACAATGAGTAACCCACCGGCAATTTCAGATACACCAGGGGATGAACAGGGCCCATATGCAAATATGTTTATTTAAGCATGTGTGGGAATTGCTATTTGAGTGATTGCTATCCTGGAGCTAATCTTCCTGAGATAAGATTGTTGAGGAAAAGATTCAGAGTATCAGGGGGGTCCTGGGGCTGTGCTGACCCCTTTCCACCCGTCCAACACTGAGCATTTTCTCCCAAGAAACCCTTACCTGTGTGGTAACAGGCCACCATCATCCTCTCCTGACCTCTGTCTCACTGTGCCTCCCACCATCCCCGCAGGTAGAGAAGCGCCTAGAGCTGGTAAAACAGGTGTCCCACAGCACACACAAGAAGCTCACCGCCTGTCTGCAGGGCCAGCAGGGAGCAGAGGCCGACAAGCGCTCTGTAAGTACCCTCTGCCGAGCATAGGCAGCTTAGAATCTGTATCCTGGCATCCAGGATCCCACCCAGGGTAGTTACTTGCTGTGGCTATTCATGTGTCTGCAAGTCAACCAAGCAAGGCTTGCTGCTTATTTCTGCTGCCATGGGGTTCTTGCTCTTTGGCCTTGCCTGAAGCATCTCCTCCCCAGCCAAGGTGAGGCCCCTTCCTGGAAGCCAGCAGGATATCAGGACCATGCTTAAGTGCTTTTAGATCCTACCTCTGAGGGACATTACCCTCCATGAACACCTCTTCTTGATTCAGCTTCATTCATAGATTATGCTTGCCTTAGTACTATTGACAGTCTGCAGAAAACGATGTACCATAAGTTCTGAGGTTTTCAGGGACCTAGAAAGACCCTTGGGCGTTGTTTCCATAGCTACTCTGATGTCTTTCTTTTCAACTGATTTCAATAACAGCAAGCACCGTGAATGTGCTTGTTCTCAGCAGTGATCGGTATCAACAGCCTTTCTGGTCTTTCCTCTTCACCCCTACCTCCTTCAGTACCACCAAAGAGCAAAAGATACTTTTAGAAGTGTATGTGCGTATGTGTGTTTGTGTGTGTGTGTGTGCCAGTGTATATACGTATGCATGCATATTTGGTGTTGGTGGTGAGGGGACTTCACATTGGGAGTTGTGTATCTTAGGTATTGCTCTTGGAAACCTCTCTCTCTCTCTCTCTCTGTGTGTGTGTGTGTGTGTGTGTGTCTATCTCTGTGTCTATGTCTCTGTCTCTCTCTTGCTGTCTCTGTTTCTCTGTCGCTCTCTTTCTTTATCTATCTCCCTCTCTCTCTCTTTTTTCCCCCCTCTCCTGGACTGGAACTTATCAAGCAGGTTAGGCTGACTGACCATCAAGTGCTGAGGATTTGCCTGTCTCTGCCTCCCCAGCACTGGGATTATAAGCCTGCACCACCACCCCTGGCTTTTACCTGAAAAAGAAAAACAAAACAACAGCAAAAAGTTCTTGGAATTGAACTCAGGACCTTGTGTTTGCAAGTGAAGCACTTACTGAGTGTGCTGTCTTGGGAGGTGGACCTGGGCATGCTCGTGGAGATTATCTTAATTGCATTGAGATGGGAAGACCTGTCCACCACGGGAAGCACATTCCCTAGGTAGGATCAGGTTGTAAGTGCTGCGGCAGCATTCATGGCAGTCTGTTCCTGATGTTGGATGCCATGTGACCGGCTGCTTCAGTTATGACGCTGGCTTTCCTGCAGTGATGGACTATACCCTTTCTCTTTTAAGCCGCATTTGTCAGAGTAGTTGGTCACAGCAATAGGAGCAGTAATTAAAGCAGATGGCCTTTCTCCCGTTTCTCCTTCCTTCTTGAGTTTACATCTGTGTTTGGAGTCTGTTGGATTAGTTTTCCACATGGAGTTGTGCTGGCTTCTGTTTGCAGCGGTCTTCCTGCTGCAGAGAATCAAGGATGAGAGCATATCCCCAGTGCTTCCTTTGATTGCCTGCATGAATGCCAAAACCAACCTGATTGCTCTAGCCCTCATTTTCTTTCTCTACTGTCCAAAATACTTAGAAGTGTTTGGGGTTTTAAATATTTGGGGTTATGCAATATCTGTGAACATATAGTGAGCTGTCCTGGAGCTGAGACGTAAGTCTAAACATGAAATACATTTGTTTCATGTCACCGATTGCACACAGCCTGAAGATGATGTTGTTTAGTAATGTGGTGCATCTCTGTTTTCACTGCAAGCTGTCACATGTGTCCAGGTATGGATTTTCACTGGCAGCTTTTTGTCAGTGCTCTGAATGTTTCAGATCCTGGAGCATTTAAGGTTTGGGGATTTCAGAGTGGGTAGGCTCAAACTCTATTTTCAGTAGGAATCCCTTGTATAGATATAAATAAAGCTTCCTCAGCTCTAGAAAGTGTCTATAGACAGAATCATGCACGTGTCAGGAATTTCAATAAGCAGATCCTGAGAATTCCTAAAGAGGAGCTTGCAAAATGCCTTTGGATATGAGCTTCCTTTATCAGTGGTGCCCTAATGTGGAGCTGTGGTCCCCAGCTGGGAACCTGGAGCTCAGTTCACCTTTGGCCCACATCATTTCTTCTGCTGCAAAATAAATGATTCCAAGTGTAATATATTTTTCTATCAAGAGTCTCATTTGAGAACCAAGCCACAAGGAAAAGGAGATCTGGAAAAGCCAGCCTATGTTACAGATAACCACTGGCTGAGCAATCCGACCCTTCTCTGAATGGATAAAGAACACCAGGGAAGAGGGACCTGAGTAGCCACTGACTCTGTAGAGCTTAGATCACACAGAGGGAAAAATGAGCTCAGAAGACTAATGGCTTTTGAGTCGGGAACTCAGGACCTGCAACACTGAAAGCCCTCCTAGGAGGCTGCGGCAAGTGTCTACCCGCTGGCTCCAGCCTCTGTCCCAGACAATATATGTTATTCTTCCCTTCCCAGAACTCTCCGGCAAGCTGGCCGGAACCCTTGCTACCTCTTCCTCTGTGATTTCTGTTTTGCTTTGTCTAGCACCTCCCCGGTCCCCATGGCTGTCATTCAGTGGCAGTTCCCATCAGTCTCCTCCCTCTTCATATTTCAACTTCTGTTGTCTCCTAAGCAGTTATTTAACATGGGCTTCAAATGAGGTCGCTGTTCCTCGGAGTCCCACCAACGGGCTCCCATCCCTTGTAGAGCAGAGGAATCTGGACTCCTCGCTGAGTCTTCCACCTGTGTTTCTGACCTCGCCTTTTGCTCCCATCTTGGTATCATCCATCTCCGGCTGCACTGATGTGTTTCCAGGCACTGATGTGTTTCCGGGCGCTGCAGCCTGTCAGAGCGTTTGAATTTGTGTTGACCTCTGTGTGCAGTTCTTTCCGAGCATTTCAGGCCAGTGACTTTTATTCATTGCTCTTCTCCAGACTCTACCTTATTATCAGAGGCAGCCAGGGTGCAGGCTCCTCCCCTCCCCCTGCCCATCACCCTGCCTTGTTTTCCTCACAGTGCATATTAGTGCCTGAAGCACTGTGATCTCCGCAATGGTACCCGAACTCCATGGGAACGAGGGTCTGGGCTTCACCAGCTGTGTTCTCAGTGCCTAAAAGAGGGCCTGCCACATGGTAGGAGGTGATAAAAATAGATCAGTGTCAGGAACAGACAGTCCATGAGTATTTGAGGCTCGGGATCTGCCTGACACACTAGCCCACCAATTTAAAATACCACGCAATTTAGTGCGAGGCTCTGAGGTCACGTCTGGAGTCTCCAATGAAGCAAAGCTACTGCTTCATTTCACCTGACCTTGAGCGAGTGAATGACTTCATTAGCCCAAGCTCTTTCATTTGGAAAGTGGTGTTAGCAGTGATTTCTACCCACTGGTGATATTTGTGAGTTTAATGAGGTAGTACCTGTTAATGACTGCATTGTGCTTCATCTGTTCAAGTACCAAGGAGTTTTAGCCTGTGGCTGTTAACAAGACCCTGGCCTAGCCTCAGGTACCTATGGAAAACTACTAGGGTCTGATCAAGAAGCTTTGGCCTTCAGGAGATTAAATCCCATAAGCTGATTTCTAGGACTGAGAATTAGAGGACAGCAGCTAGCAGTTTTCAGTGTCACATGACAGAATACAAGTATAGATATGTGGGGGGAACTGAGCATATAAGAGGGAGATTTTATGCCTGAGTCATTTTACAACCATGCCTCTTAAACCCAGGATAATTTTAGAAAGAACAGTCATTTCAGATATGACAGATTGATAGGTCTAAACCTGGGGACATACTGTCTTGTCTTGTCTTGCTCTTAAGTTTTTACCTGAACTCCCGAGCTGGGGACAAGTTAATTTTAATAGCTTATCTTTGTCTCTACAAACCACTGGCTGGCTTGAAGTCTGCTACAGAATTCATTCATTCACCAAGAACGAGGGCCAGCATGGATCCTTGGCAACAGAGGGAAATATGTTTAGCAGCTGTGTGTCCTCATGTATGAAGTGGGGGTTGGCAGAGGGGTGGAGAAAGCAGGTAAGACCTGGGTGATAGGCAGTTGGTAGGTACGAGGTGATTAAAGAACCTGTTTAGGTAGAGCCCTTGGGACTTCTTTAGAAGCAGAAGTGAACTATAGCCTGTCAGGGTCACAGCCCGTTAGCAACCCTCCCATCTGCTGCCTTTGATGATGGGCTGCCCCATTCATCTTGTCTGGAAGGTTCCACCTCATTTCCTTCTCTCTTCGCCCCTGGTATCTTTCTTCTGATTTCTTGATTCCTGAAGTACCTACATAAGTAAAAATATCAGTTTTCTTTTTGTTACCCACCCTTCCTTCTTCCTGACCTTGGAATTCAAGCCCTCAGATTCACCTCCACCGATTTCTTGGAGGGACAGTTAAACCATTAGTAAAGGACTTGTGCAAATACGTAGTCATTCAGTCAGTGATTGACATGGTGTTTAAAAACAAAAGGGACTCAACTCTAGATGTAATAATAGGAAATGATGTAAAAGACACCTTTACATATGCAGGACAAGACTCAAGAGTGAGGAATGACTTGTTGCTTTCCTAGCCTGTAAACTCTCTGACAGAAGCTACCTAAGGGGAGGAGCCTTATTTTGACTCATGGTTTCAGGGTACATTGGTCCATCATGGGGAGAAGGCGGGGCTGGAAGCAGGCTTGTGCTCTGACCTGCTTTCTTATCAGAGGATCAGGATGCAGAGAGCTGGGGCTGGAACTGCAGCAGACCTGTAACCATCAAATGTGTGTCTCTGGTGAACCAGGCCTACTGTTATCCACCATCCCATGGTCAAGGGGTTCCACAGTGTCCCAGAACAGCACCATCAGCTGGGACCAACTATTCACACACAGGAATCTGTGGGGACCATTTTGTATTCAGTCATAGCATATACTAATGTTTGTGAGGAAAATAGCTAGTGCAAATGAACATACACGTGCAAGAGTAAGGTATGGCGAGAATTTTAACAGAAGGGTTCACAAGAATCTAGGTGCCATCTGCTGAAGGTTGAAGGCTGTTCCTTCACACAGACATGCAACATGCTTTCAGCCCATGGATACTTGCATTGTTTACGCTTTCTGGTTGTTCTTGGGGGCTCCTAGTCACACTGGTGAATATGCATTTATTTTGACAGTTGCTCACACCTCCTAGGGATATGTGCCTGGGAGTGGAATGGTAGCTTGTTAGTCTTTAAGCTACTCCCAAACTCTGCCCTAGTGAAGGACTGTTTTAAATTTCCAATAAGATTGCCCTTTTAGGGCTGGAGAGATGGCTCAGCCATTAAAGGCTAGACTCACATCGAAAAATTTGAGAATGCCCTTCTACACATGCTAAACCAATGTTTATCTTCTATTTAAATAAATGTTAAATAGAGCCATCAAGTGGGTGGGAGTGAGTGATGGCTCCTTGCTTTGGATCGCTGATTGGGCTTCCTTAGTCACTCATGAGCTGGGGCGCCTTCTCATGAGCTTGCTGGCCTTCATTATTCACTTCAGCTGTGAATTGTTGTCATCTCTTAAGTCTAAACCTTATGAGCACTTCAGGAGTAAACATGTTTTGAAGTCAGCATGTCTCACAGCTATAGTAATAAGATATCTTTTCAGGTATTTTCCTTTGCCACCTCGGAGGACATGGATGGAAGGTTTTCAATGCATCATTTATTTCCTTTTCAGAAAAAGTTGCCTTTGACGACACTGGCTCAGTGCCTGATGGAGGGGTCTGCAATCCTGGGAGATGACACACTTCTCGGGTAAGATGATGCCATCCGTGTGTTTGTACCCAATCTAGGTATGTCCCCACCTATCACTCAGGGACTAAGATTCGTCATAGAGCACCAGGTGGAGGGACTCTAGCCTGTTCACCAACATGGCTATGGGAGGCCTTGTCCTTCTCATGCCCTCTGCCTTGCTAAAAAACCGTTAGCTTACATTTCTAAAGCTAGCCACCAAGCTCTATTTCCCTATTTGGCCTCTTCCTCCTTCTACAGCTGACTACCAAGGTCCAGCCATCAAAGTATTGAAGTCCAGCAATCAAAAGCCCCTTTGGTTCACCTACTTAACAATCTCAATTAAAATGAAACACCTTATCCTATCACAGCGTTTCTCCTTTCCCTTGTAAACCTCCATTTTCCAGTGGGCCCCATCTGTTTCCTTTCTAGCTAGAGGCAATCCTCTTTGTGTCTCTGGACAAATATCCCAGCCCCTCTGCATTCTTTTCTTCCCCCTCATCCTTTATCCTCTGTCTTTGTCTCTTATTCCCTGTCCTCAGTCCCTCTGGGCAAATAAATCTCCTATGTGCCAGGAACTTGGTCTCGGGGATCCTGAGCCGATACTGATCCATTCATCAGGGTCAGCTAGTTCTGGGTGGGAAAGGAGATGCTAAAATTAAAACCCTCAGCCAAAGTGCTGTTGACTGTGCCATGAGCTAAGTCCCTGTGGGGAAGGGAACTTAAGTATGGTGGAGGACAGAGAGATCCCCAGCTCAACTGGAGCAAAAAGATGACTGCCATCAGGTGTCAGAATGTGCGGCGTCCCTAGCAAGACAAGGCAAGCTAATTCGGAGGTGAAATCATCAGAGTGTCTTCCACCCCGAAGCCAATTCAGCACTCCCAAGAAGCAAGGGTAACATGGCAACACGTGAGAAAGTGCAAAATAAAACAACCAGGGTGAAACTGTGTAAAGAACCAAAAAACGAAGTCCTTGACAAAGGAAACTAAAGCATGTGGGCGGAATTGAGTAAACAAAAACAA